TACTGCCTCAACGTGCATCAACGTTGGCCCTTTTGCTCGTTTGGATTACAGGTTTGGCCGACCTGTCGACGTTCGATTTGTGGCATGTGACCTCGGGGTCAATGCCAGGCATTTCATAAGGTGTCCAAGCAAATATCTCAATGTTTGCTCTCAAAAAAGCTTCCAATTCCCTTTCTTCTTCTTCGGCTAAGCCTAAGCCGAAAAGAAAGAAGCGCTCTTTATCCTCCTCTTGGACGAGGATTTTCAGTGCCTCTTCACACCTCTCGACTGGCTCCTTGCCGACATCATGTAGTACCTCTATGTCCTCGTTTTCAATCTTCTGCCTTCTCTGATTTTCGAATGCTGCATGTGGATTTCATTGCTACCATGGAGCAATCCTCCGCCTGTAGTTGATCCCCTATGACTTCTTCAATCCCATGTTTTGTTGGGAACCGTAGTAGTTGATGCAACGTTGAGGGAACTGCCCCCATTGTATGCAGTCATGGCCATCCCAAGATGATATTGTATGGTGAGGGCGTGTCAATCACCATGAATTCTGTCTTGATCTTCTTCTAACTGCTCTTGTATGATTCTATACTTAGGATATTTTGCATGCCTTTCATACTTTGCGTCATTTGTACAATCTTCTCGGGGTTACATACCTCGGGTATAATAGCTACAAAACTTTTACTTCGGCAAGATACTGACCTGCAAACTTTTCATAAATTCTAACAAGTGCGAAACATATACTACTCAATGTTAACTTTGTAAACTTTTTCTCAAGTTTCAACAAGTGTTTAAACGGTGATCTCGGTCTAGCCTACTTGTAAATTGCTATAAATTTCAACAAGGATTAACATATACTGTAACAGGGATCAACAAGGATTAACATAACAAGTGTTAAACAATAATCTATTTGTAAATTGCTACGAATTTCAACAAGTGTTTAAACAACATACTTAGCTTTTTCCTCAACCTGTAAATTCCTGCAAATTTCAACAGATGATCATATGTCGGCTTAACGTTATCTTGTAAATTGCTACAAATTTCAACAAGTGTTAAGCATCTTCTTTGGTTTAACCAACCTGTAGATTTCTACAAGTGTTTAGCAATAACCTCGGTTTTGCTTCAACTCGTAAATTGCTACGAATTTAAACAAGCGAAGAGAAACAGTAATCTTGGCTTAACTTCGGTTAAACATCATCTCGGCTTAACTTCGGTTAAGTATCATCTCGGCCTAACTTCGGTTAAGCATTATCTCGGCTTAACTTCAACTTGTAAATTGCTGCAAATTTCAACAAGTGAAGATAAGGAACCATCTCGGCTTAACTTCAACTTGTAAATTGCTACAAATTTCAACAAGTAAAGATAAGGAACCATCTCAGCTTAACTTCAACTTGTAAATTGCTACAAATTTCAACAAGTGAAGATAAGGAACCATCTCAGCTTAACTTCAACTTGTAAATTGCTACAAATTTCAACAAGTGAAGATAAGAAACCATCTCGGCTAAACTTTGGTTAATCATCATCTTCGGCTTAACTTCGGTTAAGCATCATATCAGTTTAACTTCGGTTAAACATCATCTCGGCTTAACTTCGGTTAAGCATCATCTTCGGCTTAACTTCGGTTAAGCATCATCTTCGGCTTAACTTCGATTAAGCATTATCTCGGTTTAACTTCGGTTAAACATCATCTTCGTTTAACCAATTTGTAAATTGTCCATAAATTTCAACAAGTGGTAAACGCATTCTTCTTCTCTACGCCCTCAGTGTGAACTTAAAATCCATTTGGGTTCTCATCACACATGTAGTTTCGACCTTGTCGCCGAGGTTGAATTCAAGCCAAGATTTTCGGCCTTGGTTTCTCTATTGATCTTACTTGGCTCCGACCTGAGTTTGATTTTTCGGCCTCGCATCGGCGAGCTGTTTCTTTTTTCTCGTTCCGACGCCTTGGCATGTCATCCTCGGCCTTAGTATACTTCTCAATTCTGGCCAACTTTAGTCTGATCTTGTGTGTTTTCTTTTTATCTTCTGGGATCTGAGATCTGCTCATTGTGCTCTTCTCTTCTCGGACTCAAGTGCCGAGGTCTTGTCTGCTGGAATCTTGGATCTGCTCTCTCAGGTTGAACTCTTCTCTTCTCGGACCTACTCATCTAGGCTGAGATCATGCCTTCTGGGATTTGGGATCCAGGATCTGGAATCTGGGATCTGCTCACTTAGGCATGAGCTCTTGTCTTCTCGGACTTACTTATTTAGGCTGAGATCTTGTCTTCTGGGATTCGGGATCTAGGATCTGGAATTCGGGATCTGCTCACTTGGGCTGAGCTCTTTTATACTTGAATGTTATCTCCTTGGGAGCACTCATGCCCCCTGTCTTTGCATCCCTTCTGGAAGGGTCTTCGTTCCTCTGCAGGTATCTATCCTTCCATACCTGGAGGTCATCTTCGTTGCTTCGATCTGTTGTCTTTGGTGCGTCACCTTCCTGGCCAGCTTCTTTCACTCCGTGACTCTGGTTATGAGTTTCTGTGTTGCTATTGTCCACTTCAACGCCGAGGTTGATAGATCTCCTATTCCTAGCAAGAGCGTTGTCTCCAGTCTTATCCTTCTGTTTGTCATTGGCCATCTATTCTTATTTCTTTCCCACAGACGGCGCCAAATTGTGTGGGTGATTTTCCGACCACACTGCCCGCTTAGTAACCAACTGGAGAGCACTGGCAGAATAGATGGCACCTGACTGACCTGCAACAGAAATATAAGAATCCCGCGGTGGTTTCGACTACCCGGGGGCACTCCGACGATCAAGTCAGTATATCTCTCAAAGATAAATCAAGTACTAAACTCACAAGCTTGAGTATCAAAAGCATACCTTAGACCCATGGTGGTGCCTCTCTTTTATAGCCAATACAATCCTAGTCCCAATAGGAGCCTGGCCCTAGTGGACTTAGGATTACTGCTAATTTAGGACTCCCAGTGGGATTAGGATAAACTCTCTAAGAGTCTCATCTTTACCCAAACTGAAGTCTTCTCCCAATTTAGAACTCTTGTCCATATCCAGGTTGAGTTCCCTCTTCATTCTAGGACTCTTGTCCTTTATCCGCTTATCTCGGATTCCGATATCTTCGGAGATAACCTCGGCCTTGCCGAGATCACCTCGGCGTCACGACCAAGACACGTGGCACCTCGGCCGACACATCGGCGTCACCTTGCTACGTGTTGGTACTCAGAAAATATATCCCCACAGATAGTATATTTAGAATGGCTAATGAAACTTTTGAGAGTTTTATTGGTATATAAATTCATATCGTGGGTCTCTTGATCAATATATATATATATATATAAAGTGTGTATATTTATATGAGTGTGCTTCAAAATCTATATTTACAGAAGATTAGTAAATGTATTTGAATTTGACAGTTATAGAAGGAGGATAGTTTAGAAATAAGACAGGTTATGAAAAAAAAGTGTTTACATCAAGAATTTTATATACTTTATATTATAATGTACAAATGGATATTTGGTTTTGTGTTTGGGCTTAAGTCTATAATTGTTTTTATTTCTATTTCTATTTCTATTTATTTATTTAGTTTAATAAATCATAGTTTAAAAATTTAAATTTAAATTTTTTGAAGCAATTGCTCCATTTTTTTTTTGTGTCCAAAAGCACAATAACAATTAAAAAGATCATATTATCTCTACTTATATTTATCTATCCACATGTCCATTTGTTTGTCACTGCTTCCTGCAGCTGCCCATAGCTTTTTCGACGAGTCATCGTCAATTGATAGTAGTGTGTGATAATAGAGATAGAGTAAAGAAAGAAAAAGAACATAGGTAAAAAAGAAAAAAAAAACTATCTGTTAAAATAATAATTGGTAATCTCACCAATATATTTTATTAATTATATCTTTATAACAAAAAAAAAAAAAGAAAAGAAAAAAAACCCAATCACTGAATCTAATGTAATGTATACTTTAGTGCATTTAGGCCTCATTGCAAACTTGGTTATTTTAGTTAATTTTTTTAATTATTTTATGAAATGAAAAAAAGTTGTACTTGGGATAATTTGTAAATTTTTTTTGTAGTTGAATAAATAGTTGTGAGAGAAAAGTGATTCATTGATGTATAGGATGTAATATTTTGTTTTATTAATTATTTTAATATTTTTTTTTGTTTGACTATTTTAGGAAAAAAATTTATTCTCAAACAAGGCATTTTAATTAACAAAAATGTTTTGAAACTCTAATAACTCTAATAAAGGAGCTCTAATAGCTCTAATGGAGTGTGGGTCCCACAGTGATAGTGATATTTGCGTCTTGTGTTTTTTTTTTTTTTTTTTTTTTTTTTCATCTCATTAGAGCTCATTAAAATTCTTTAATTTAAAGAGATGTATCATTATTATTTAATCAAACAGGTCCCACTCTCTTATCTGTCCCTTATATACAATAAGGAAAATGTTTTTTTTCCCGAATTTGAGCCCCCGAATCCCCCGAATCAGATAGAAGAGAAGAGAGAAAGAGAAGAGAGGGGAAGAGGAGGAAGAGACGGGAAGAGATGGTAGCCCCTCCGCTTGCCGTTGCCTCTGGACGATCGTCGCCCCGCCGTCGCCTTGTTGCAGCTCATCTCAGTAGCTCATCGCAGCCCCGCCATCGTCTCCGCCTCTGCCTCGTAGCCCCCGCCTCTGCCTCCTGTCTCCGCCTCCGCCTCTAGTCCGATTTTGATGGGCCCTCCAGTCTAGTCCTGCTTTTTCTTCTTCTTCTTCTTCCTCCTTCTCTTCTTCTTTTTCTTTCTCCTTCTTCCTTCTCTTCTTCTGGAAAAAAAAAAAAAATCAAAAACGACAAAAACGACGTCGTTTTTGAATTCAAGGGGATTCGGAGGCTCAAATTCGAGCCATCAATCACTTCTCTATACAATAAACAAACACAACTTTAGTTTAAAACGTTGGGACGTTTCCAAAGGCGAAACCCAAGGCCAAGCCCAGGCCCACTTCTAAAGTCTACTTTCAAGGAAGGGGGATGCGTTTCAAAGCCTCTTCGAGTTTACTGGCCCAGTCCTGATCCTAATCGGCTTCTATTCATCTTCTTCGCTAAGAACCCTAATCAAATCCTTTCCCTAATCCTTCTCTCCCTCTCTCTCTCTCCCTATCACATACATATATAGATACATATATCTCCTTTATTTCTTCTCTCTCTGCAACATGGACGGAATTCGGTCTACATACAAAGACGAGGAGGTTGATAACTATTCATCCAACAACAACGAAATCAACAACATTGTCATCGCCGATCCGACACCACCCACCACCACCGCTGCCACCGACGGCGCCGCCTTCATCGCCACCATCAGCACCACCTCTGCTGGAATTCGTGATTTAGAAACCAAACCCTTAATTGACGTCAAAGAAGAACCTGTTGCCTCCGCCGAGGATAAAGACCAAAACCCTCCTCGGAAAAAGGAGAAACAGCTTTCCCATCTACCAATAAATGCAGAGCCACCTTCAGCTGCAGAACCCAAAACCAAATCGAAGAAGAAGACGAAATCGACATCACGAAGAGGTAAAAAGAAATTTAAGCATAACAATAATGACAATGCCCAAACACAGGATACTGTGTTGATCACTCCGATTCCCCGCTTTCCTGATAAAAATGACGATGCTCCCGATATGAAAATCTGTCTATCTAAGGTTTCGAAAGCTGAGAAAGTTGATTTGAGTGAGGATCGCTTGACTGCTGCCAGCATCAAAGGCTATAGAATGGTTAGAGCCACTAGAGGTGTCGTGGATGGTGCTTGGTATTTTGAGATTAAGGTAGTGAATTTGGGTGAGACGGGGCATACTAGACTCGGGTGGTCGACTGAGAAGGGGGACCTGCAGGCACCGGTTGGGTACGATGGAAATAGTTATGGGTATAGGGATATTGATGGGACTAAGGTACACAAGGCTTTGAGGGAGAAGTATGGGGAGGAAGGGTATGTTGAAGGTGATGTTATTGGGTTTTACATTAATTTACCAGGGGGCAGTTTGTGTGCACCAGAGCAACCCAATTTGGTTTGGTATAAAGGGCAGAAGTACTTCTACATGGAGGATGGGAATGAAGATCCTCCTAAAGTGGTACCGGGTAAGTGATAGTTTGTTCTTTGAATTTATACCTTTTAGCTAATTGAAGTTGGTTTATTTTGTATACAATTTTGTGCTTTGTTTGTTTGAGTTGATTGTTTCTAATTGCGATAAACTGTTGCTTATTAATTGGTGGTTGTATTTGTAAATGGTGAATTTTGAGTTTTTTTGGTTAGTCGTCAACAATTTTATAAGACTTGGATGGATGACTTTGACCTGTATAAGTGTTTGTTATTTAGAATGCATAATTCGTTACACTGAAATATTTCAGGGTCCCTCTAGTATGTTATAATTATGGTTTTCATCACTGTTCTGAATATGGTATTGACTTTTTCCATTTCAAGCATTTTAAGTCGTCTTCTCCCTTTTGCTCATTTAGGTCCAAAGTGTGCTTAGGATTGAAGGATGTGGGCACATTTTTCTGCTTCTGCACATTGTTCTTGCATTATGTTAGATTCAAAGGTTTCTTTGAGGTTGAAGTCTTGTTCTTGTTCTTGTATTATGGTGGAGGAATGTGCTGTCACGTTGGGATTTGTCCTGGATGTGTACTTGTTCAATTTTATTTTTTACTATCAAAGCTATTGTGGGTTGTTAGGGAAGATGTGGTGGGGGCATTGTTGTAAAAGGCTTGCCTAGGCGCAGGTGAGGCACCTTGTATTGGGCAAGGTGCATCGCATTCAGTGAAGTGCAGGCAGGCGCTTGAGGCGTGCACTTGAGGCACAGAAGGCCTGCGCTTCATTTAACATTATGCTTTTGTTTTTCTTTTAAATAGCAGCCATTTGATTTTTATTAATGTACTATAATGGACGAATATATATATATATTGCTACATGGGATTAAAACACCCAATTACAGTAAATATACTTCTGCTGTGCCTAATGATCTGAGATTTGTTTTTTTAAATCATCACATAAATTAATTGATTGAATGGTTTGATGGACCATGTGATTATTGATTGTTTTAATATTAAAAGATCATTTTTAGATTAGTTTATGATGATTGAAACAAAGATTTTAGTTTGATACACAAGTTTGGGTTGAAATTTGTATCTCTTGAATTAGAGACCTTACTTTTATGAGTTTTAAAAAAAATGTTTCACAATTCAGAAGCTTATGAAATTTTTATGCAAGGTTTATATATGAGTATAGTAAACTTGGTAATAATTTCAGATTAGAACTCTTACAGATGAATTTTATAAAATTCTTGTACCGAGTGGTATTTGGATTGGGTGCTGTGTAGATTTTTGTGCGAAAATGTTATGGTTTTGTATATTTTTTAAAAATAGTTTCCCATCTCAGAAAATTGTGAAATTTTTATATGTTATTTCTATATGAATCTAGTATATTGGGTAAACATTTAACAGCGAAAGGATGAGTATTTAATTTTATAAATTCAAGGATTGATCGGTGATTAGTTAATCGTTAAACTGAAATTTGTATTTCAAATTCAATTGAGGTTTGATGTTAAGACCATGACTGTGAGGTAAAATTTGTTGGGTCTAGTTTGGTGTATATTTGGGTCATGTTTGATTCATGGTTAGGAGTTTAATTCAAGACCCATGACCCATAGTCATTATAATTTGGATTTAGGTATGTAACTTATGCTTTACAGTTTGGTCCATTTCCATTATGTGAATGGTAGGGATTCCCTTGAGAGTTGGTGGTGTTGTGTGTTACACTAATTATAGTAAATGTTTGAATGACGAATTTATGGTGTGTACCATAACATGAAAATTATATATTTTTGTGGTGAAGAAAAAGTCATATTTATGTTGTAAGAAAAATTATACCATTTTATGATTTATATTACAAAATTTTGTGGTGTTATTACAATAAACACTTCACTATATATAGGTGTATAAATGTATATATATTGTACTGATTGATGGGTTGGATAGAAAATGAAATACAAATAAACGAAAAAGAGAAAAACAGCAAGGGACAAGCCCACGTGGGTTGTCCTTTGTATCTTCTTCATTTCTTTACTCTTCTTTTCCATCTTTCTCTTTCTTTTCTTTTTCCTAGTTGATTTTGGCAAAGAGTGAGAGACAGAGGCTATATCTTTCAAGTTTGGTTTGTAACTATTTTGCTCAATCGGAGTGTCTTAGAGTTGGATTTTGTGAATTTATTGAGAAGGAATGTTATAGATCAAGTCGAGAGCTACGTAACTACCATCTCTGATTTTTGATTCGTCAAACATGAGATTTTCGAAGTTCTTCATATTCACTATTTAAGGTAGGGATTCTCTCCATTTTATTGCTTTAAAATTTATGTTAGGGTTATTTTGAGAAAATATACTATGATAGAAGTTTTATTGCATAAATGTTTATGATTAGGTATTTTATTTGACAAAAATATGTTGAGTTATTATTCCATTTTGTTCTTGGAATTTATTTTGAAAAAACATGATGAATATCTGTCCAAAATCTCATTTCGAAAATAGAGATTTGTTTTTGGAATAAACCCATAAAAGTATACTAGTCAAGCCATTTGGTGAATATTGCTATATATATTGTTGTATTTTGTTCATTTTTGTGAAAATGAAAAATAGAATATTTGAGTTGTTGAACTTCAAAATTTGAGAAAAAATAGCTAGTCGAGTGTCTTGATATTAAAAGTGGTTAGGTTTGAAGAATGGGAAATTCTAGATTACATTTGATATTTTTTAAAAAATTTCTAGTTATGATGAGCTTACTAATTTGGTAAATTAAATTAGTTTAGCCGTCAATTTATATCCAATGTGACTAAAATATATGTTATTGGGATTATACCATGACTTCAAATGTGGTTAAAATAAAATGATAAGATTTGATAAGAATGAGATTTGGGAAAATCATTATAGTTAGTTTGTTTGGTATGGAACAAAGTTTGATTTAAAAGAATTGTTCAAGTGAAAGTGATTTGGTATTTGATTACTAGTTTTAATAGTTGACGGATTTTAATGTGTTATTTTCATACCTTAATTTCATATAGATAAGATATTTGAATTGTTTGGCGACTTTGGATGAAAAAAGGGAAAATGGTGATTTTAGTTCATTTGGGGCGAATGAATGCTTTGAACTAAATTGAAAGGAATGATTAATTTTATCTCTTTAGATTAACTGGATGGGGTTAATATTGATAAAATGCTAAATGAACACTTGTGATACATTTCATAGTTATAGTCAAAAGAGGATTTTGATATAATTGGCTAAGTGTTGGAAACTATATGAAAATTGGTTTTAACTAAGTATGTAGTAACCAAGTGTGTGTTTACTCTACTTAGCTGATTTTCAGACTTTGTGCTGGTACTATTGATTTTATGGGCGTGACCCAGGTTATAGTCTTATAGCTGGTATTACTGGTCCAGGTTGTAGGAGATAGTTGCAGTATAGACCCCTGGACACTGTGCAGTTGAGAGAAATAGTAACCTCAGTAGTTGTGGGTGGATTTTCTTTCTGACACAGCTCGGAGTGAGCCTGGCGTGTGATTAGGGTATGACCTATTATTAATTTTACGGCTCAGACATGGTATTAGTGATGAGATGGGTTATTGTACGCCCTTTTGGCGGTTATTATGTTTTAAGATGTATTCATTATTCAAGTTAATTGGAGTGAGTTAATTAAATAAAATGAGATTTGGACCTTGTCGGTAGTCACTGTGATTGTTCATTTATTTAAGTTAGCTGGGATGAGTTAATTAAATAAAATGATATTTAGGCTCAGTTGGCAGTCACTGTAATTGTTTATTTGTTTGAGTTAACTGCCATGAGTTAATTAAATAAAAATGGAATTGATACCCTTACTGTGGTTTGTTTAATTATTTAATTTAACTGAGACGAGTTAATTAAATAGGTTGGAATGGACGTCCTGTTGGCAGTCTCATCATATTTCAACTTAATTGTTTATTTAAATTAACTGGTGGGGTTAATTAAATAAATCAAACTGAAGGGATTTAGTAATTATATATGAAAATTGGCATGACATGATATTATTTGCGCGACTTCAATAAGTCACGCTTAAGGCGCCCGGCTGGGACAAGGAGTGGTAAGGCCCAAGGCCTTCGCCTTGAGGGCTTTTTTTTATTGTTGCTTTGAATGGCTTTGTTTGAAATCTGACCATTGATTTAATATGGTGTAGCTACAGAAGATCCTTTCTCTTAAGTACACATGCTAATACATTGGGCATTCAACCCCAAATCAACGATAGAAGAAAAATTAACCCTAATTCCTAATCTCCGAAGAACACTTTGTTGCTGCCTGCCTTCGTTATCTAGTTCAGCAGCTCCAAAAATTCTTCACGTTGTTGTCTTCTTCTTCTTCGTCTCTTCTTACATTTCTCTCTCATTTGTTATCTTCTTCTTCTTCACATGGCTGTGATGTTGCTACCTTCTTCTATTCTCTTCACGTTGCTGCCTTCTTCTTCTTCTTCGTCTTCTTCTTCCATCTTCTTGTGCTTATTCTCCGGTCTCCTCTTTCTCATCCTTCTTTGGACTCATCTATTTTTTGTTTCCCCCTCGTATTCTTCGTCTCCCCTATATTCTTATTCATGTTTTATGTTAAACTTTGAAATATTGTTCATTTGTCTATGTTAAAATAGTAGTGTTTGTTGTTATTTATATTTTTAAATAATTAATATTTTATTTTGCTTATGTTGAAAATTATTTGCTTATATTAAATTATATATATATATATTTTTATGTTCAAGGTGCGCCTCATTTCGGTGAAGTTTGCACCTTGCCTTGCACCTAGGCCCCAGGAGTCTTTGGTGCCTTGGTGCTCCCATCGCCTTTAATAACACTAAGACAATAGTTGAGGGGCGTAAAGTGTAATTTACCCATTATCTGTAGGAGAGTGGAGTAGAGCATAGATCATTTGTTTTGCATTGGCTTGTCACATGTGGCTTTGTCTCTATGGCATAGACTATTTCATCTGGGAGATAAATTGGGTGGCACCAATTACTTGTGTTCAGTTGGATTTGATTGAATATAGATGCTTTTGGTTTTAGGAAGGAAGCCTGAGTGCTTTGAGATTGTGTTATTTGCGCTATTTTATGAAGTGATTTGGTTAGAGAGAAATACTAGGATTTATGAGGATATATTTGAAGAATTAGAAAAATTATGAGATAATTTTGTCATTTGTCCTCTTTTTGGGTTTCAGTATTGGATCCATTTGTCAGAGATAGGCGAGCGTCACATGATATGTAATTTTTTGTGTGTGTGTGTGTTTTTTTTTTTAGTTGTATTCTTTTGTATTTCTTTTGTCCATAGATAAAATGTTAATGCCATTGCTTATTAAAATAAAATAAAAAAATTCAAACCTCAAGTGTGATGCCTAAGGTTTTAGGAGTGATTACTAAAACTATCCTCTTCTTCTCCTTTCTTTGTAAATTCTCTACACTATAACAACCCAAGGAAGCCTACTCTATCAATTTTTTTTTCCCAATCATTACATCCAATTCTATAAGCCTAAGCTTTTGTTTTTTTGACAGCAATAAGCCTAAGATTTTCCTTGGTAATTTTCAACCCTAGTATCGAAAACTACCTTAAAAAGTAAACATACTGCTCTCGGGCACTATTCACTGCACCCAAAATGACCATTGATTCGCTCCCTTTACCTTATGTAACTAAGCCCTAATTGTACTTCCTTCCAACCATACTTCTCTATGTTTTTCAGTAAAGTTCTCTTTAATGAGGAAAAAGTCAAATCTAGGAGTGGGAGTTTTGGATTGACAAAATGTAAAACAATGGGTCATAATGCTCATAGAACTGTGTTGATGAACTATTAATTTGAAGAAAAATTCATTATAATATATTGGATGTCCAATTCAGAAGTCTACTCCTATTGTATTGCATTTTGGAACATGTGGCGTACACATTCCCATTCCCATTCCTCATACCGGAACAAATCACATTTTAAGAAACATAGTATTGAATATAATTTATTATTTGTCCTCTTTTTGGGCTTTAGTTGCAACCCCCTTTAAGGGATTTCTTTTTTATTTTTTTAATGCAAGAGTCTTTATGATTTGTAATTTTATTCTCTCTAGGGCTAGTTGATCTTCCAGGCATAAATTCATACTGATTCACTGACGGGCCGCAATTTCATTATAACTTAAGATCTAATGATAGGAGGAAAACAATGTAGATTTATACTAGTTGCCATCTTATTTTGAACTTTAGAAATTTGGGTTTTATTGTTTTTTTATTAACTTCAAATGAAATATTTATATATATGACATAATAAATATATTTTGCGTGTCTCTCATGTGTCATGTTTTGCATTTTTTGGAACTTACTTGTGTCAGCGTGTTCATGTCATGTCATGTCATATGTCTGTATCCGTGCTTTCTAGGATGTTGGGCTTGATTACACTTTGCAAAGACTTTGGATAGGACAATGTTTAAATCTACCATCCATATTTTCATCAATTGTGCTAATTAAAAATTTATTTGATTTTCTTTTAGAGCACGAAGGCTCATCTATATTTATAGCATACAGTAATCCTGCTAACTTCTTGCAAATATGCAACTTCAAGACGCGAGGGAAGTGTATTCTACTAGAAAGTTTGAAAATCACCTAGCTTGCTGCTATATAACAATGTGGGGAAAGAGGGAGACTCAAAGACTAATTTTTGCCAGCTGCTAGTCTATAATATTTTGGGTATGGCTATCATAGTCTCTTAGTTGAGGCAATGTTGCCATAACCAAACCACACCAAGGCTTGTGTCCCAATCAAGTGGGGTCAGCTACATGAATTAATTTTCGCCATTTAGCTCTATCAAGAGCTATGTGTTCAGCTAAATTAAATAATTATATATATTTTTTCACTACCGCATTCCATGTCAACTTAGTTTAGGTCTTCCCCTCCCCGTAGCATCTTCATTTATGGTGATTTTATCACTCTTTCTTATCCTTGCATCTATAGGTTTTCATTGTACATGACCAAACTATTTTAATCTATTCTCTCTCAACTTATCTTTAATAGGTGCTACTCTTACCATTTCATGAATATATTTATTTCTAATTTTTTTTTTTTTTTCTATTCTTACCACACATCCATCTAAGCATTCAGATGAGACAACGCAGCCATAGGGTTATATAATTATTTATATAACTCTCAATTTAAGGAAGTAAGGCTGTGTTTTGATCTTGAATTTGGGTAGTGATTTGGAAATGGATATGGAGAAGGTGAGGCAAATGTGAATGAAATATAAGTTTTTTTCTCCATTCTCCGTTCTTTGTTCTCCCGTTCTCCGTTCTCTTTCCCTTTCCAGATCCCTATCCAAATCCATCATCTAAATACAATGTAAATGTTTATATGCCATGGGAAAAATCTGAGTGTTTGATGAGGGGAGGTTGAGTTGTTGTTTACATGTTAAAGAAATTTTGGTAATTTCTAGTATTTGATGAGGAGATGTTGATTTATGTTATTGATTCTTTCTTTCTAAGCTTTAAGTAGTTTTCCAAGCTAGAGATGTAACACTGGGTAGGCGGTTGCTTTTTCTTATCAGGAAGTGAAATATCTTTCTTCAAAAATGGGATATGCCAAGGGGTTGCTTTTCAAGATCTCTGTGGTGGTCGATACTACCCTGCAGCTTCAATGTATACACTTCCCAATCAACCAAAATGTGTTGTCAAGTTCAACTTTGGCCCTGATTTTGAATTCTTTCCAGAAGATTTTGGCAGCCGCCCCATACCAAGACCAATGACTGAAGTTCCTTATCTTGGCTATGACGTCAAAGTTGAGAATGGTGTGTCCAGTGAGAAGAAACATTAGCTATACTGCACCTTTTAGCAATTTTTTCAGAACATATCAGAAGTCGGTGATGGATTCATGTTTAACTTCTATTGTAATGTTGCAAATTTTTTATGTTATGTCTGACAAATGAATAGTTTAGTCTTGTAAACTCAATTTTTCTTTGGAGTCTTCAAGTTTCTTTTGAGCTGGACTAATTAAAGTTGGCACAGATTGCATTTATTAAAGTAATTTAAATATGTTTTCTCTACCTTTTTCACCTTGGTTTTTCCTGTTGAAGAATGATAATAGGTACAGTAAACAGCTGTGCTCTTGAAGAGTACACTATCTGTTTCAAGAAAAAATGATCAAGATAAATGATCATTTATTTCTTTAGAATTGAGAGAAGCAATTAGAAATTTATAGGTGCTCCTGTGACAAGTTTTACATTGCTGATGTGACATAATAGTATGTGTCGTTAAGTTATGTTTTTTTTATTTCTATGATAAAATATTTTTTTTTCACTAGCTTGACCCTTAGTCTTTACATTGCTTCATTGCCATTTTGTTTTGGACATGCAAAAGTGTGCATACTTTTGACACCATAGTTTCTGTTTAGCGTGATTGAGGGAGAGTGGTTGTGGTGCGAAAGGGATCGACATGGCTGCCTAAGACCTTCAGATTAAGCAGCTTGTGCACCAAAAATCTGAGTCCCATGATCTTTTCTCCTATCCTTTATTGCCTTGCCTTTATTGGTTTATTTATTGATTTATTTTCCGAAACAGGGTGTTGGATGGCTCTTTCGTTGTTGTGGCGGCCAATTTCTATACGATCTAAATTGTCTTTCCCAATGGCAGGTAATCAATGTGTTTCCATCAGAATGTGGCCTATGGTGAAAGTGGTAAAAGTGCAAGGTATTCAAAGTTATGAAAGCTGCTGATGTGGCCAGTTAAACAAATGGAAAATGCTCAGGTTGGTTTATTGCATTTCCATATGAAAAAACCTAGAAAGATACTCTGTTTTATATCCTGCCTTCTTATCAAGGTTATCAAATTTGCAATGCCTAAACTTGCTATCTAGGTTAAGAACTGGATGTAGGTAGTGCTGACTGGGGCTGAGGTTTTACTAGAGAGTGGAATCACTATAGACACTAGGGACAAAGCAGCTCAATGTATACATATATATATATATGTAGAGAGAGAGAGAGAGAGAGAGAGAGAGGTGGATCGGTAACTACTGCAGAAGAACCTAGATTCATGCAAAGCAATTGAACTAATGTTTGGGTCGTGTGGGTCAACCACTGCGCTAAACTCACACCCATGGGGAATGGACTTCCGTTTTGGGATTTGAGTGAATTTACTCAAATGTTACAAAATCTCTCAAGTACATTTTCTGATAACACATCCCTCATGGGCTGACACGTGTAGGTTCTTTGATCCAACGTGTAATATACACATTACCGCCCATGTGACACGAGATTGTGTAGGTGATATCCACAGTGGACAAGTACCATGTGCAGAAAAAAATGTACAGTCAAAATCCACTATTAACTTAAAGTTGGTCCTTGTTCCATGCATCCTTGACTTGTTAACACAACAATGTGTATTGGGTGCTGCAAACTCTTTGTAGTCATGCTAGAAAGGAATACTGAAGATGTTCGTAATTTTAATTGTTGAATATCATACCTAAGAGTCCAAGGGTGTTGGTGGCTGATCATCTTTGTACTTGAATTGATATTCTCACATTTCCCAGCCTGAGCACTTCCTCTTGCTCTAAGCAATGACCTTTGTCTCAATTTTTAGTTGCCACAATAGTTTGCCATAAATAGGAGTCAATGAAAAATTTTCTTGGAAAAAAAATTCCGAAGTAATAAATGGAGTCATAAAATAGATGAAACTCACGTCCTACTATATGCAATATTGTCTAAAAGGTCAATATGGCACTAGAAGATTATGTGTATCCCATTATATTGCATAACACTTCGGATAATGGATGTACGATACAAGTATAAAATCACATATATAGAGCAAACTATGGCAAGGACTAAGTTAAACATTTTCATCATTGGTCTCAGGCTCATTAAATCTTGTTATTACTATCCTAATTAATAGCTCTCTCTGTGTTATTCTTGCTTGATTTTATTTTGCTAGAGAGAGAGGGAGACCATGCTATTTATTGGAAATTGAAACATTTTGAAGTGCAAAAAAAGAAAACTTATAAATTAGTTTTGGGAAATCATAAATCTATCGAAAAATTGTTTCCAATTTGGTTGAATCTTGACACGTAATAAGTATATGTAAATCATGAACACTTGATTACAAACAATCAAAAAATGAACATTTGATTACAAATAAAAATGAAAAATCATTGTTTCTTTCTTTCCTCTTTTTTTTTTTTTTTTTTTTTTTTTCTCAAGGTTGATTACACCAAGACCCCCTGTACTTTTAGCGAATATCACTTTACTCTCCTCATCTATGAACTCGTACATTTTGACTTCTTCAACTATAAAAATGTATCTCTTTCACTCCCTCCAGACTATCTTGAAAAGGGGTGTATTTGTATTGTTTTCATAGTTGAGGGGTCAATATGTACAAGTTCATAGATTAAGGGGGTTAAAATGATATTTACTAATAGTTGAGAGGGTCATGGTGTAATTAACCCCTTTTCTAATAAAAAGTTTGCTTCCAATGAAGTGGTCTCTATAGATTTGAAGTGTAAAAAATAAAATTATAAATTAGTTTTGGGGAATCATAAAACAATAGAAAAATTGTTTCCAATTTGGTGGCATTCTTGACACGTAACAAGTATATGTATACCATGAACATTTGATTAAAAAGAAAATGAAAGATCTTTGTTTCTTTCTATTTTTTTTTCCCGATAGAAAATTTGCAAATAGAACTTTGGGATTTGTGTTCGACAAAATGGTAACTAAATATAAAAGGAAAATTGAGTTTGCTTCCAATGAAGTGGTCTCTACAAGAAAAAAGAGAAAAAGTATAAAACGATCCATGTTATTTATTGAAAATTGAAAAATTTTGAGTTATAAAAAATAAAATTATAAATTAGTTTTGGGGGTTTTTATAAATCAATCGAAAAATTTAGTATATGTAAACCATGAACATTTGATTAGAAATAAATTGGAAGTTCATTGGTTTTTTTCACCAATAAAAAGTTCACAAATCCAACTGTGGATTTGTATAGGACAAAACAGTAACTGAAATATAAAAGCAAAATTTGGTTTGTTAAAGTGGCCTCTATGAGAAAAATAAAAATATGAGAGAGAGAGAGAGAGAGGTATACAAAGATCCATGTTATTCATTTGAATTTTTTTTTTAAGTGTAAAAAATTAAAATTATAAATTAGTATCTTGACACCTAATAAGTATACGCAAACCAGGAACATTTGATTAAAAATAAAAATGAAACATCATTGTTCCTTTTTTTTTTTCCCCAATAAGAAGTTTGCAAATCCAACTGTCGATTTGCATACGACAAATGGTAAGTAAATATTAAAAGAAAATTGAGTTTGCTTCCATTGAAGTGGTCTATTATTGGAAATTTGAAAATTTATAAATTAGTTTTGGGGAATCATAGATTTATGAAAAATTGTTTTCAATTTGGTGGCATCTTGACGTTAATAAGTATATATGTAAACCATGAACACTTGATTAATATTAAAAAATGAAAGATCATTGTATCTTTTCGCTCCCTCCCCAATAAAGTTTGAAAATCCAACCGTGGGATTTGCATTGGACAAAATGCTAACTAAATATACATAAGATCTAAGATGCTACAAGTACAATTATTTTTTTCTTTCTAAAAATAAGAATTCCTTTGAATTTTCTTGCACGACTTGGTTTGTTGACTCAACTTGTCTTGATGAGTCGACTTGGCCTTCATGAATTTTTTATATTGTCACATCTAGGGTGTTACAACTTATGTGAGATGATTTCTAGGAATTGCTGGGTCAATGTATTATTTTTCCCTTGTCAAGTTCAAAAACTATGTAGGTGCCTAGACAGTGCTTTCTACACTAAACATATAATGCAATCCAATTTTCCATACTAGTTGCTGGGGAGGGGATGCAACATTATTCCACAAATTGGAACAATATTTTTAATGGGTTAGTGGAATAATTTGCATAATTGTTAGCTTCTTGCTAATGCTTGCATATACACAGAGGATTAAGTTTAAAACTATATGCTTGCATATACACATAGGGGGAGAATTAAGTTTTGAAGTTGGAAAAGATGACTTGCACCTTTAAAATCAGAGATAACCTATGTGGCTTAGTTCTGGTGAGGTTGGGGATTGTTCAATTTAGGATAAAAGACACTTTTAGTCCCTAAAGTATGCGTTGTTTGCCATTTTAGTCCCTTAAGGCCTCGTTTGGGAACAGACTAATTTAGTAACTTTTTGGCTATTTGGCTAAAATGTGATGTAAAAAAAACTAGTATGTTTGGGATGACTTTTTGGCTTTTTACGAAAAGATGTACAAAAAGTAGAGAGAAAAGGGAATCTTTGACTTTTTGGTATGAGTTGTTGGCTTTTTGGCTTTTTTAGTAACTTTTTGGCTTTTTGGCTAAAATAGCCTCTTGCCAAATGAGGCCTAAGTTTCAATTTTGTCATTTTGGCCCTCAAAGTTGTCAATTTGAGTCAATTTGGTCCTATCTCTAATGTCCTTTTAAATTGATAACGGAAATATGGATAAAATACAATTTTAGTCCCCTAAGTATGCATTCATTGTCATTTTAGTTCTTTAAGTTTCAATTTTGTTATATTGGTTCTCATTTTTATGTATTTTCTTGTTTTGTTCCTCTCTTCAAACTCAAGTTGGTTAGTTTCTATCCTCCTTGAGTTTGCGGGGGGCTGTTAGAATTTACCATCACCTACCACCAATTTACCCCTCACCTACTCCTCCCCTAAGTATGCATTCATTGTCATTTTAGTTCTTTAAGTTTCAATTTTGTTATATTGGTTCTCAAAATTGTCAATTTGATGAAATTGACTCAAATTCAAATTGACAATTTTGAGGACCAAAATGACAAAATTGAAACTTAAGGGACTAAAATGACAAAGACGACATAATTTAGGGACCAAAATTGTCTTTTTACCAAAGATAAAATATTTTTCCCGTTGTCAATTTAAACGAACTTTAGAGATAGGACCAAATTGACAACTCTAAGGACCAAAATGATAAAATTGAAACTTAAGGAACCAAAATGACAAACAACACATACTTTAGGGACTAAAAGTGTCTTTTATCCTTGAATTTATATGCAAACATAGACATGCAGACACTCATATACATAAGATTCTTCTAATTTAATTGTGTTATGCTTTATGTGCTTATGCTTTGTTTAGCGATTAGTAGCCTTAGGGGCATTTATGTACTTTGGACCACTCTAATATTAATGTCTGTTTATGAGAGAGAATCTTATTTTTTGTCTTTCATTAGCCATTTATTGCATCTCTATCATCGTTCTTTTGTTTCTTCTTTTCTTTCATACCAAATCATTATTTATTCATTTGAAGCTTGAAGATTGCCATTGTTCTTCTCTTCTAATTGTGTTAAACATCATAAAAGAAAAAAAAAACCTACCAATATGTTCGACTAAGGGTTGAGTACCATGCTCTCTCTCTCTCTCTCTTGGAGATGGGTAGCAATGGTTTTTCAATGTTACAATGATTTTCAGTAAAAAGGTTTTCTTTAATTTATTTTTATTTTCATTTTTTTGGAAAATCATCGATCGAGCATGGTTTGTTACTGCAACGGTAACAGTAGCACTGACATTGTTGCAGGGTGTAATGGCTGTAGCATAGCGGTGGCGGCAATTGGAATCGTGAATTTTTTAATTCTTTGCAAAACTTTAGGAAAACATACCGATACTCATGATTTTATTTTAGAATCACATTTAATGATGTTCAAAATTATTTTCAGTATTTTTGTTTAGTTTTAAAACATGATCCAATATATATACTAATTTTTATATTACTTTTAAGTCGGAGAATTTTCCTATTCTTAGATTTATTTAATTTTCTTTGCTTTACTAATTATACTTCTGGATAATTTCCAATTTGTTAAGGAAAAAAAAGAAGTATATTTAATATTAAAAATAATAGTCTCATAAACATAAGTTCAAAATACAAAATGTGAACATAATAATGTAAAAGTACATAACATGAATTCTAAATTTTGTTCAATAAATTTAATACAAGAGAAATAGATACAAGTTAATATTCAAATATAATTAAGTAAAAAAGTAATGAAATCTTGTAGAACTTGAAGATTGGACATTCAAAACATGTATAGATAAGATTTTTACTTAAGTTCTAACTTCTATGTAACTAGAAAATAAAAATAGAAAATAGCATTATATACAAAATTTATAAAAAAAAAAAAATTAAAATTAAAAATAGATGCATAACGATCATAATGGCCGTAATGGTATTATAGCGGCAATGTAATGGCCGTTACGGCCTTTACGTAATGGTGGCGACTATTATAGTTTCGAATTTCTGTCACACCACTATAGTGGCCGTAATAGGTGGTGGTAACCACTACAACCGTTACATAAGTGGATGGTTGGAACCTATGGGAGGCTACGTGTTGAAGGGGGAGACTATTAAGGGCAGCCTGAGATTGCGATTGAATAGGATGGATCTCAAGATCCATTCATGGCTTTTGAAAGATTAGACTACTGATGTGCCACCAAGTCAATTGTCATCCTCAGCACCAATTTCAAATCCTCCCATTGAGGCCTCAGGTAATGAATCTTGTTATTACTCTTTTTAGAGATAATAAAGATGATTCCAATTTTTTCTATTGCTCTTAGAAAGGGTGTTAGGATTTATACTTAGCACCCTATATAACTATTCATAGTCTTTTGAGCTCATGAACAATGCTAGCTATTTTTAAGTCTGAACTAGGTGTTGCTGGTGTCATTGCCCTCTTTTATGCATAATCTTTTCCAAACTCTCGAGATGAAATCTAGCAATATTGTGTCACCTTTATGTGAAGCTGGCAAGTTGTTAACCTTGAATGTGCTGTCCTAGCCTATGTCATTTTGACAAGTGCTTACTCAGCTTCTGTAATTTTTTTTTAAAAAAATATATATATATACATATATAAAGCTCCCTTTTCTGCTCTTCTACATTTGAGGACCTTCTCTCTTGTTTTATATATTAAGTACAAGCATGCATGTGCTAGCATGTGTATGTCATGTTCAACATTCGGCACTCAGTGGTCCAGTAACTGATTTGGCAGGTGCATACTATTTTAGATGAAATTGTGTTGGGTGGTCAAGTTCTTGAGACAAGTTCTTCAGAAGTTATGAAGGCTGTTGAAGAAATCTCAAAGTATCTCAAAGTGCTCTCTCTCTCTCTCTCTTTCTCTCTCTCTCTCTAGGCCAAAATAAAGTCCATGATACTAGCTACTGATTTTCTGCAGGTTGGAAAAGGCCTCAAATACAATTCTGGTTGTCCCAAAATCTATTCCTGGCTGGCATGCTCGATAGCACATGACTTCTCTAGTAAGCTCTTACCAGAATAACATTTTACATAGGTTAACTTGCAAGATTTCACTCCTTTAACCCTTTGATTTGACAATACTATAGACTTGGAAATAATCAAATCTCTCATGTCACTGGCTACACATGATCTAGGGAGAATTATGTGCACAAAAATGTGAATGTATAACTCCGTTTCGTATACAGTGCTAAAATGCATGATAAATGCCTGCCTTTCTGAAATGAAGCTTCTCGAAAAGAATGGACTCGTCATTATTGATGTCGCTACCATTAATATGCAATTCAAATGTAGATATCGTCTTCTTTAAAAGTCAGAATAATCTTGTATATAATCCAGATTGGACACATCAGTTCTGAGGATAAACAACATGGACTTATTATTTAACGATTTCATTTCCATAGGACACCAATCCATGTTATGCAAATAGCAATTTATCATAATTCTTTCATCATGCTTCAGTTGGTATTGACAATGAAGTTTCAATAAAACTTTGATCTTTTACTTGAATCACTCTGCCTTACATTCACTATGTATGCCTTTATGCTTTTTTTGTATATGTGCCCGTCAAAGTTTTGCCGAACACTAGTATGTAAATAGGAATGTGCCTATTGGAACTTCCAATGCTTGGAAGGAAAAGAATAGAGTAATTTACAGATAATGTTAGCAACTAACTGTGGATTCTATAATTAGTGTTTCAAAATTTGTTTGTTTATTGATGTCTATGAAATTGATGCTGATATAGGCAGGTGGAGGATGATAGAAGGAGAGAAAGCAAGCATGCTGAAGGAGAACAAAAAGGAGCAACACAACTTAGATTCAACCATAGAAAATCCAGTGTAAAGCTTTAACTTCACTTGGTCTTTGGTTTTTGGGTACCTAAAATCTTGAAGAATAGACACTGCTTACAAATTTCGGAAACTATTGAAAAGAGTTGTGTTGACCTTTTTCTGTGGTATCACCTGACTTTGCTCTCCTCCAGCCCCATGTGCCGGTGCTCTTAATTGTGATTGATATATTGAACTTTGTACTGATAAATTTCAAAAATTCTTGAATAGTGTCATAAATGTGACTCGAGTGATATGGCTGTCTTTGTTGTGTGGGTTATTTTAAGCATATTGTTTATCAGACTTTCAAATTGTTGCAAGGCTGAAGCCCTTCTACTGGGCGGGACTCAACAAAAAGTTGGAAAGCAGTCCGTCTTTCGGAACTCCCAAATGCTTGTGGGGACTTTTTTTTTTTTTGGGTCTTGGTTGGGGATCCTCTAAAGTTTGATTTTGAGAAATGCTAGACTTTGTTTTAGATCTATGAATTCACTGACAATTATACGATAAGGGAGTCGAGTCTTATATGACTGAGTGCATGACAAATGACACTTATCGTGTCACATCATTATGAGTGTCACATCATTATGAGTTAAAATGAGAAATTTTTTTATTAGTCACAATCATTTTTTCTTTGAATAGACGTGTATCAAGAAATTGTTTTGGCCATCCATGTGACATTATACAAGCAAAAATAATATCTAATTCTAAGTACAAATATATCTTATTCTTTCCATCATGTTTTTGCAAAGCGTGTTTGAGGAATGACATCATTGTGTGGTCAACTCAAAATTTTTTACACCAATGCTTGGTAGCTTGAATTTTTATAGTTTGAATGTCTTAAAACGACGTCGTTTTGGAAATAAAACAACATTGGCCCTGTTTGGTAGGGTTTTGTTTTAGCTTATTTCGGCTTTTAGCTTAATTTAAGCTATTTTAATGTGTTTGGTTCAGCTCAACAATACAACTTATAACTTTTTGTAAGTCAAAAATGAACTTATTCTTTAAGGTCATGTTTGATTCATAAGACTAATAGTGAAGTATTAATAATCCTATTAAATTAGTGTGGTATTTACTATCCAATTGGATTAAATAATCCTATCCCTACCCCATTACTAATAATCTTATAAATTTGTTGGATTAATTATCCATTGGATTAATAATCCTAAACCAAAATATTAAAACAAACATAGGATAATTGGGCCTACGGATTAATAATCTCAATCCCATTCTCTAACTCTCCCAATCAAACATGCCCTAAGTGGGGGAGAAGAAGCTTAATTTATAAGTCAAAAATCAGCTTATGTTCACAGTTATAAGCTATAAGTTATTAAATTATAAGCTATAATCACTTTCCAACAACTCTACTAAACGAGGCCATTGTTTTGATACATTCGAACTATTCGGACTACACAAATTTAAGTTACAAACATTTTTTAATTTTTTATTGTAAGAAGAGTGACATCATTGTGTACGGTTAACTTCAATTTTTTTATATTGTAAGAGAAGAGAAATGTAAACAGATATCTACAAATCTCTTTTAAAGTAATCTTTTTTTAGGAAAGTCAGCAAAAACCATCGCTTAAGGGCTCAGATAAAAATAACTATTAACTTCCATTCAAAGCTTTTGGAAAGAAAAAAGATCATTAACATATTATGAAGGACAAATTTGCATAAGAGGTCCCATGGTCTAGTGGTCAGGACATTGGACTCTAAATTCAGTAACCTGAGTTTAAATCTCGGTGGGACCTTTTTTCGCAACTTCATCCGAGTGTTTTTTAGGCAAAAATTAGATGACAAATACACAAAACTCCACCAAATGAAAATCCAATTCAAAAATGAGAAAAGGCTGAATGATTACAATTTACATTCCATGAGAAGAAGACCGAAGTCACAAAGATCAATTACCCGGTTAAGTTTAATGTGTGAGTTCTCTAATGGAAAAGATGACCTAAGCCACAAGCACCTTAAGCATGAAAAAAGTCTCATGTTTTTGGTCGGTAGAAATCCTCAAGGGAGGATTAAAACCATTAGGCATGCGAACCTCAATTCCATACCCAAGCCATCAAGGGGTTCAAGACCACTTTCAAAGTGAATGAAAGATTAAAACAATGGAGTGCAATGACACATATTTTAGCACTGAAATAACATGCTAAATGACTCAAAATCATGCAAACAACTCATGTAATGCATGTTAGAGGCATAAAGTATCAAAGTTAGTGAAGTATATTACACTAGAAGCATACATTATCAAGCTCAAACAACAAAATCAGCCATGGACAGAACTAAAACATGCCAAATCAGTGGCATAAACATGTTGAGATAGAGCTCAAAAGACTAGGAGAACATGCACACATGTTAGCCCATAAGCAAGGCACAATACACAACCCTCAAAAGCAATGAAGAAGTGAAATATATGAAAGTGTGACAGAGGTATATGTTCTGAAATCACATGCTAAATGATGTCATATCATGCAAATAACTCAAATAAAACATGCTAAGAGCCTCAAAACACAAAGCTAGTAAGGGTCGGTTACACTATAGCTATACAAAGCGAGGCATATGTGACCAAGACCACTTGAAACAGAGTTAGAGCATGCTAAATCAAAGCCAAAAACATGCTGGAGTGGAACCAATTGTAGACCGCCCGAAGTCCGCTCCGCACGCGAGGGCGCGAATTGTAGTTCTAGCTACTACAGTTCGGACTCCTGTCACGATTCTAAATCTAATCTCACAAAGTGCAATGTGAGACTGATAAATTACCAAAGAGTCCAAATCCGGCAAATCGTTTTGGAAAATCGACTTTAATCAAGAAGTGCCAAACATGGACTGTTTTCCAGATTTCAGAGTCGCCACCTAAATATTTTATTTTGGAAAATTTAGGAAACCCTGACTCGTGTCTAAGGCCACGTGTCCGTCATCACCAAAGTTGCCTCAACTCTGGAACTTGGGTACGAGAGGGGAAGGTCCTGGAAGGAGCACCCCCGCTCGCCCGATCAAAGATCGGCCTCTACTAACATGATATGTTGTTTTTGAAAACACATGTGTTCTTATTCCGGTTTATTAGCTAATATACTATGTGATGCACACAACATACAAGTATAGACTCAATCACGCGGATGGGAACAAAACAACTCATGTTTGTTTTTTAAAGTGGTTTGAAGTTGCTACTCGCAAGTAAGCTAAGACGCGGATTTGCCACCCTCACGTGGGCTTAGAAAAGCATGATTTTGCCACTTCAAGTGGGCTTAAAACTCACAATCATCGAGTTGTCCCAATTCAAGCAATCAAGCCTTCATCCACAGGCATTTATGCAGTTATATCATATAAGCAAATAGCCTCATGGCAAGCATGCTATCATAGCGGTCACTTACATACATGCAAGGATGCTAAAACATAAACACTCACCGAGTACTCCGAGCCAAAACAAAAGCTAGTTAGTAATCATGCATGGTCCTAGTTGTGTCAAGAATGCCTAATGCAACACATGCAAAATGTAACTAAAAGGCTCGGCTATTTAGAATGGCATGTGAATGCAACAATTGATACATGTATTCAAATAGGAATTGAAGTACAATGCAGTTTGAATGATACGCCGAGCCCGGTGCATGCAATACGAATGAATGATGCAAACATGCAAGCATAAGGATGCTAATTGAAATATACCCTAAAACTAACCATCGAAAGCTGATAAGTAAAAGGGAAAAAGAAATGGAGGTTGGAAGACATGCATCACACACACGTACACTTATTACAACACTTGCCCTCTCGACTTAGGGTCCGAATGAATTTAGCTAACTAGCTACGCTAATTAAACTAATTATTACAAATCAACTAATTAATCAAATTAATTAAGTTACAAAACCAACTAAAGTATGAAAAGCATCTAAATTAGGCTGCCATAGCTTCGCTTTGAACAATGAAGGATGCATGCTCAGTCGCGTCCTCCCGGAAATCCACTACCGTGCCTCAAGATGCCTCTGTGTGCACACCTCATGTACCTCTGAAAATTCTGACCCACCTTAGGGACATGCTGAAGGATGGTCGGCTAAGAGGGATGGCCATCGGCCAAAGTTGATGGCCATCGACCAAATTTATTGCCGATCGGTAGCTTTTGGTGGCCGGCCGGTAGCTTTGATGGCCGATCGGCCATTGATTCCTGCAATTTCTCCTTTTGCTGCAACAGAGCACAAACAGAAGCATGGCAGTGTATTTACAAGGAAATGTGTGCACAACCACTCTCCCTATCATCTCTTAAGCTCAAGGGAGGGCGGTACTCGGCTCTCGAGCCACCAATCACGCATCTCAATGCATGATGGCCAAAGAGGCCGAATTGCACAAATCAATGTCAATGAATGTACACAAATAACACATAAGACTCGATGAACCTCCACCTTATCATACATGATCAAAGGTGTCGGTAACTTAAGGAACGAGGCACGTTTCATCACTTTGAGTATGAAATGTGCGACATTCCTCGTGTTTGGATCGACGTCCAACCCAAACACAATGCAACACACACAACATGCTAATACAATGCAACACAATATCATGCAAACACAATGCAATGCAACAACATGCAAACAACATGAGCATGGCAAGGGCTATGTAATGCAAAACTCAATGGACCAAACCAACCTCAAACAAGCCTCATGCATGCCAAGACAATGGCCAAAACATGCTGAAAAAGAAGTCCAAAAGCAAATACAAGCATGCATACACATTGGTTCATAAACAAGGTATGAAGACACAACTCTCAAACGCATTGAAGGAGTGGAAAATGTAAAAGTGTGGCAATGAAATATGCTCTGACATCATGTAAAGAATGATGCCAAATCATGCACATAACACAAGCATAGCATGCTAAGAGGCTCAAAGCTTAAGACTAGCAAAGGGACTTGCGCCATGGCCATATCAATCAAACCCCAAAGAGCCAAGATGATTCAAAACAGTCTCAAGACAGGTCAAAACAATGCTAGAAACATGCTTAAACATAGCCAACATGTGTTAGAATTAGAGGCATGAAGCACGGAGCATACAAGGCCAATGAGGAGGATTACACTACACCTACCAAAACCAAGCATGAGATGACTTCATCAACAAAAATCAGAGTTGTATTATGGCAAAATAACACCCAAAACACACTGAAATGGTAGCCCCAAAGCTTAGGTAAGATGGCATGCATATTGGCTCATGTTTAAGGCATAAAGCACCAACCCTTCAAAGCATTGAAAGAGTGAAAGATGTGAAAGCATGACCACACTACGCACACTAAAATCACATACCAAATGATACTAAATCATGCAAATAGCCTAAGCAATGCATGCTAGTGACTTGGAAACCCAAAGCTAGTGAACAAGATTGCACTATGGCTATACAAAGCAAG